ACATCGTCCAGTCTAAGCCGACCAATGAAGATCGTTTGCCACATTATACTACAATTGTCAGCAATGAGTACGAACAGAGACCATTCCAAAGACATTTTCCTCTAGTTGCTCTGACAGAGGCGCGAACTCGCTGCACCTGAGACCCGAAAATGAAGTGTATCAAACAAGAATGTCAATCCTTTGTTCCATCTCTCATAAATGAGACCGTGGAATGTATGATCGCCCACGGGATGACTTCTTCATCTAGCAAAATTGTGCAAAACAAACAGTCACGTTTGCCGCCACTTCCTGAAACTTGACTGCAACACCAAACTTGATGACCACAATTTAAAGCTGGTCACGCAATCAACTTATTTGGAAGGTCAACGGAATTCATTTCCTTCCGAATTTATTGGTCGTTAAACGCTATCACGATTTATGATATATCAGCTTCGATGTTGCCTCTCTCTTACAGTCGGATAGACGATGCATCACAACATTTACATCACATGACATGAGCTTAGCTCATGGGATGACAACAAACCGTAGGCAGGCACTATGCTCAATAGCCCCCATGAGGTCGCATTTACCTTTGTGCTAACGGCAGTATCACAGGAAGTCATGCGACAACTGTTTTTATCCGCATTGTGGCATTGTTCCATCTTCTATTCATGGTATTGGAGGATCTTGAACACAGCAATGCCACTAAAGTGGGAAAGTCGGTTATCACCGAGACAGACCGGCTGGTATATTTCTATAAGGCCTGCATGGATTGGGCCTCACTGTTGATCTTCCCCAACAAATTCACGACACGTAGCAGATTCAACTTATAAACTATGCCCATTCAAAAGTCGAAAGAATGATTGCGAAGAAATTTCTTTTCAGTGAATCTGCTTACTGTTTACAACGAAGTAGTAGGGAGTGTTGAATGGTACAGGCTGAACGTCATCCCATCTAGACTCCGTCAGACAGCCATCACAAGCCCGGAAAAGCACTGTACAGTGGTTTCATCATTTCGGGAACCGTTAACAGTACGCAGTATGTGATCCTTGTCAGTAAACAGCGAGTAGCGCTGTCACATCACGTAACTTAGTCACTACGGTCGTAGCCGTCCCCGTAGCTCAGTGGTCTTGATCACAGACTGGCAACAGTCGAGTTGTACGTTCGAACCCAACAATGGTCAGATGAAATGCGTAATGCTGACGACCCACGAAAGGATAAAACGGTATTACAGTGCTTTTCCGAGCATGTGATATCTGTCTGGTTGAGATTAGTTGTGACGAATTTCTGCCTGTATCATTCAACTCCTCCAATTACTCCTTCGTATGACAATCATCGGAACGGGATTTGTTTTTAGCAATGCAGTGATTTGATGTGTGTGTGCTTCGACCGGAGTGACGGTGGCAATCAGTGTCAGTTAAAACCCTCTGTCATACACTAAGATACCTGAACTCAGCTGTCAACGCTATGGCCACGATAAGGTTAAACTGCACTAGTACACTCCGCTTACACGGTTCCGGTTGTGGCCATTTGATTGCGTTTGCTTCTGCCGTGGTCAATAGGCGCCCTTTTGCTCTGCTTCTTAATGCGACATACACTACTTTGAGAGCACCCTTTGTTTGTACTTGAGGTCAACTGCCTATTTGGTGTTCCACGATGAACTTGTGGACATTGCTAATCGTACCACATTGTAATGAGGCGGTGCGCGGTCCTGCTATCCTCTTCGACTCACTTTCGACTGGGACTGGCGCACTGCTTTTGCAGTCGTGTTATCCTATTTATCGATCAGAAGGTGCAACATGGAGATGTGTCGTTAAAGTTACGCTTCATACACAGTTTCGAAGACGGCCTACTCCCAGTTTAGTTCTCCTGCCCTCCGCTGCCAGCCCACAAGCAACTCCTACTGATTCTCGGTGCATCGTATCTTACATTCGATGATTTAGTCTGTCTTAACTACGGTAATTGTATGGTGTCACGGTTACTTAATCGTCAGGACTCCGGTTGATATTTATTAAGTCAGCAATCCACTTGACAACCACGCCGCGTGCCTGGGGAATGCGAACGAGGATAATGGTGGCCATGACGTGGATGCAGCGCAGACGCAAAGGTACACTGGGATTGTACACATTCGGCCATGAAATCGTTCAAGGCTTACTTGACGCTGTCTGCTGATGAGGATCCGCTTTCGTTACGTTTGATATTGGTCTGGAATACGCCACGGCGCAGCTGGTGTCGTATAGGCGGAATACAACAGGGTAGACTGTGGCGGCAGTGTAATTTTCCGAACAGGCGTACGAGTATAACATCCGCTTCAGTAACCGCATGCTGAAAGTTTCTCTAATCTTCATATCTTAGAGTCCATTAAGATGCCGGAGGAGGCGCAGTCAGCTGCGTTAGTTACCCGCCCCTACAAGACTTTGCTTTATTATCCACGGTATATCTCTTTCTAGTAGCTCCGATCATCTCTTGGCTCACCTCCACCTTAACTGGCATCCAATCAATCATTCTGAGTGGCAAGGAAGCATCTTCGGCCAGCTTAGTGTTATTGAATGGAGGATTTCGTCGACTTATGTCGCACCGATAAGTGTGAAAGAGCTCCTTTCACGCCTGAGCACGTGACAAAATGCCGATCCCCATGGGACGAGGGATCAGCAACGTTCACCACTCAACTGAGTTCGTGCTCACACGCACGCACTCACCCAATCACTCACACATACATACACACCACATTAAGAGCTTGCTCTGCTCGCTTATCTAAGTGAACTAAATCGAGGATTATAAACAGACCGTCCACCTAATGGACCAGCAGTGCTAAGGGAATTAGCTTACATCATAAACGCCCCAGAGCACCACCAAGGATTTGCAACCAGGTCACCGATCAAGCAGATTTGACCAGGCCCAGTCTCACCGGTGGCTGGATGAGTTCGGCGCTAGCTGGGTTGTAGCAAAATGACCACCTCTGTTCACCGGGTGCCTGAAGCAAACGAAGCGGGAGAATACTGTAGGACTGTTCACCTTTTTATGGACTCATCAAACGTCGCATTCTTCTTGTTTGTGGAGAAGTCGGCGTCAAGTCACTACTCCTGAGTGGAAAGCGAATCCCCCGGAATCTCGTCTATTGCAACATGTCTGGTTGCAACTTTTACCTTGGATTCCATGACCCATCCTCGTCACATATGAACTGGGGGGTCTTAGTGCAAGAGAGGAGTTCAGGTGAATGAGTGGATCTGCATATCTGCTTCCTGCAAGTGCGTTTGGCAGGTGGGTCAAATGGAACAGCATCCGGTATGTTGCAAGAAGAGAAACCAGTAAGCCGCGAGCTATGTTACTCATCCAGCGATCTTAATTATAGATATCGGACTTCTATGAACAAAAATTGACTGCAATTATCTCTGTATCTGGGTGCTGTATATAAGTTGAGAACTTGGGAAACACTGTCCTCGGTATGAAGGACAAAACGGCGCTTCATCTTTCCGTAAGAAGCAGTGCAGCCAGGCGCCAAGCTATGGTTGACACAAAAGATGTTTGCGCCCACAGAAGTGTCACAAGGCTTAGAACTTTCTGGTACAATCCGTGCGTTGAACTGGGGAAGATCTTCTGTCAATTGATGGTTAGTCACAGAATGGATGCTGTTCACCAGATGGTTTGTGTTCTTCCCTGATGCATCCTGGTGAAGTTACTGTTACCTACATCAGACTTCTTTACCGCAGTTGGGCTACACCGATTTACACTTGCACTAGATCTTCTTAACCTGAATAAAAAGCAACTTCTAACCGCTGTGTTAAGCACTGCTCGCGGAGCTCAATGGCCTAGTGATCATGGCGATAGACGCCAAGCACTGGGCGCCGAGTTCCACTCCCAGCTCGTCTATCCCTACTTGATGAGTCTAAAGCAAGACGACACCGTCGGTCGTGGAATGCAGGGATGGGAGAGAGCCACACCGAAACCCTCCACTTCGGTGACGGTCCCAGTAACCGTATTGGCAGAGGCTGACTTTAAAGTCAACCGACGCCACGAGTGAGATTGAGTGTCGCCATTCAAGGCACACGGTGCGTGGTCCAAAACCCGAAACGCAAAAGTATTCCACTTTATTTGATTTGCTCAGCTCTGTTATTCTGCTACATATTCTGTGTCAATTTTGAGCATTCATTTTTCTTCAAATACTGTGTTGGTTGTTTGATATCCCCGATGTGGCTACACTTGATGTGAATATTGACAAGGTGTCTACCTGTATGATACCCTCCACCTCGATTACTGGCTCTAAGAGACTGAATCGCTTCTGGGAGAGCGAAGGAACTGTACGCTCCTCGTGGCTGTACGAGGCTCAAATAGTAGCCCCATCCAGTGTGGAGCGGATTACGGCCAAGCCACCGTCTTGTGTACCTTTGGTACGCAGGATTCCCCAATTAGACAGGGATGCTGTTGTTATGGATGTTGTAGGAGTGTGGACGGGTTCCGTTGATGAAACATGTCTCCCATTCACATGCCTCACGGTATTATTCCTTCGGGTTTAAACCGGATATGGATTATGTGGATGGTGCAGCGCAAGACACTCATTGCCTCTCTGTAGGCTCAGGCGTCCTGTCGCTGTCCTATGGAGGCTGCCGTAACAGGCAAATCCGGAAGCGAATGCCATAAACCATGCGCTCTTATCGGACTACTGACTTCGTAATCATATCAGTGGTTGCCAGCCAGATGATTACTCTGCAATTCAATAGCCTCAGTGCAACTTCGTATACAACATACGTATAAAACATATCTAAGTAGTAGGGGGATTTATTTAGAGTTTGTGCAGGTTCGTCGCAGCCAGACTCAGACAGAGCCACCACAAAACCAGAAAAGCACTAGATGGTCATTTTGTCCTGGTGGGTCTCGTCAGTAGGGCGCACCCGCCGGGTTCTAAGCAGTTTACATGCCACCTCGATTGTTCCACCATGCCATTTTATCAGCATTACCCAGTTCATAACTACTTAGAGATACAAATTTACCTTTACCCTTTGTGTTTTCTGTGTGTTCTCCAGGTGAAAAGCCGTTCATGTGTGAGTTCGAAGGATGCGACCGACGCTTCGCCAACAGCTCGGATAGGAAGAAACACATGCATGTCCACATGAATGACAAACCGTACTTGTGCCGCTTTAAAGGGTGCGACAAGAGCTACACGCATCCCAGTTCGTTGCGAAAACATCTGCGAGTGCATTATCTGTCTCCGAGCAATTCCCAGACGGAGCTGGACCCGAGGTCAGTTGGAAGTGAACACTTAGACACTACTGAGAGCTCAGAACATAACACTGTTCAGACGAACGATCGAATTTGTGATTATCTTGGAGAGTATGATGAACCCAAGAGACCAGCTGTCAAAAGTGAATTACCCGCGTGTATTGACAAATCGATGTACCCAGCGCTGAGCAGGTTAGAGTCGGCTGACGCCAGTTTGAGAGAGTGCAGACGAGTTGGCGACGCGGCTGTTCATTCATCTGTCCGGGCGCTGGAGTCTGAATGTAGAAAGTCCAGGAAGAGACGTTTGACCACACGTACCGACGTGTACATTGGTGGAAAAGATGAATCCCCAGGTCGAGACTCGACCAAGAAAGGGGATCGTTACACTCATTCTCCCTCCGAAGTATCTCTTCGAATGAGCGGTAATGATTTTGCATCCGCTCCCTCCGATGAGACTCTGAACAGACAACCGACAGATGCATACAGAACTAACGCGCTCCAGTTCCGCTTGCCTTACGGATCTACGCACTCACAACTCCAATCAGCTTTCACACCCCGGTTGCATCCTGCCAAGGCGCTGTCTCCGTCACATAAGGCTCAACTTTCGCATTCCTCAAGCTCTCGAGCCATCTCGGATAACAATGAGGAACATTGTCCGCCCAATATGCCGAGAGACTTTCCAGCCCCACCTTATAGTCACTGTTCCTACTTCCATCCAGCGTACTATTCACTCTTTCAGCCATCCACTGACGCCAGAAAACCAACTGATGTGGTTCCAGACTCATTGTATATGTCGTCACTTCGAAGTGACAGATGTTCACCTAACTTGTATTCAGAACCGGCACGGAAAACGTTTTTACACACATCGGCTGGTGATCCGTTGCGGCTGCCAGAGCTGACATCATCAACGAGTAGTTTCATTCCGGTAGTTAACGACCAGATGAATAGTCATCATTCGTCATCAACCGATTCTGATTTGGATGGGAGCGGTTTATGTAAAACAAATTCCTCCTTGAACTCCAGTTTCACTGCGCATTCGGCCAAGGCCACTTTCAACAGTGCCTTTGACAATCCGGTGACACGATATCTATCCCCTTCCGACAGTGAGCCACACCCCACCCACAGGTTGACCATAAAATCTGACACCATTTCCGGCGAACGAGCCAGTCCCTTGTCCACAAGAACAGCTTTGACGTCTCCACCACCGTCCCATCCGTCTGGCACCTGGGCTCAGCAAACAACCTCTGGCAGCTACTTCGAGTGGCGACCTCATAACAACGTGTTTAACGAATCGTCAAAGTTGACAACCATACCTGATGAAGTTGGCAAAGGGGCGTACACAAGCCAGTTCACATTCGATGTGCACCCTCGGACAGATGGTCACCTGATGCGAACACAAATCACATCAGCTGAGGCGCCTAGTGCCTTCTCGATTGCCTGTAATTATACACAGCCATTTCCCCATAATTCCGGGTACCTCAAAACACACTCGGAATGTTCCAAACTCTCTGTGAATCCAACCGACCTCACTAATCTTTCCGCTATCCATTCAGTGAAGACCGAATGTGGCTCGTTGCAAGTGACCTGAATGAACGCCATAGTCAGCCATCTGGTTTGTTACTTTCCACCTAACTCACCTCAGCCCAGTGTATAAAAGAAAAACAGTGTTCGCAAGCTGCACTGAAGTTTGTGGCAGCCGGTGAAAGATCTCATTACCATCATTGGCAACAGCCGCTGCACCAATGAGAGGCTTATCTCTCCTGTGTTAATTCATGTGACCTCAGATTTCAGATGTATCTGGTTCCTATACACATCGTTTGTTAATGAGATGACAATCATTCTTCACTAGAGCATATCTTTGTCATGGGGTAGATGAACACAAGTTGTGTTGAGTAATTTGTGTGTCTTGGTTTCCGATAATAGTATTGTCCGTCACAGTGACATCCTCCTTAAGGTAAAACGGTTACTGACCTTGACTGGGTTAGGCTACGTAACCTGGACACAACTACAACTATATCCTTGGTTGAGAACGGCAAATCGGGTGATAATAAGCAGCGGGAGTCTGTTTCCTTTTGATTCCATAAAATAAATAGCATGTTACATGAGTTAGGCAATGGTGACTGAGCAGGATGTCATTTATTTCGGCTGAGCCCTTGTGATAATACACACAGCGGGTAGTGGTTCACAATGTGCCTATAATAAAGCTCAGATATTGTAAAACTGCCTAAATGACATATGTTTCGGTCACATTGGCAAGTTAATTACATAACTGTCATATTCGGTCGGCAGTTACATTTTCCGGAGTGCCACACCAAGTAGACTGTCTCCAGCGGACGGCCTCCATAAGAACGAACTGGTAATGTTTCCACTTCGGAAGAAACTCTGAGGCACGAGACGATTGTGGCCTACTTCAATACAACTTAGCAACGTAGGGCACGTACACAGCGCAGTAGTTACGAGACCTAAGATACAAAATGTTCCAGCATTTACGTCGCTGGCAGGTAGCTCAATGAGACAGCTGTTCGCACACACGCTCACATCCGGAAAGTGTTGGGTAGTAGTTTCATCTCATTGAGACTCGTCAGTAACGCTTATCCGTCCGATCCCGTTGAATCAGGGATTATGACTTTTACTTGTCAGCGAATTAAGCCACTGAACAGGAGGCATAGTAGCTGTCTGACTGACTTTGTCTGCCACGAATTTCCCCCCAAACATCAACCCACTATTGTGCACTGTATTTCTGAGTTTTGGTGTAACAGTCGTTCAGATAGCGACACAAGCTATGTTTCATCACAGATTCGATTTCTGTCCTTTTTATCACCCAGGCCGAATTTAGATACCTAACATCAATGCGTTGTTCCCACCCATCTTCTCATCCAAATAATGGCTCCGTTCTCCGTTTTTGCATCGAACCTGTAATCACCTGACGTAGTAGTAGTAGTAGTAACAGTTGTATTAATAGTAGTAATCTCAGCAGTCTATCAACTAGACAAAGAGCTAAGAGAAAATGATGGAGATCAGCGGATAAGGAAGAGTCTTCGCGTCATGATCATCGTGGCGTGTTAGTTGAAGGTGAGCAACACACTTCAGCTAATATGCCGCAGGAAGAATGAAGCTTTTTGACAAAAAGTAGAACAAAACATTTTTAGTTCGTTGTTCACACGCCGCTTTTGCTCTTGTTTGTCGCCTTCAATGTTTGTAGTATTAAACATGTGAATCAATACAATACTGTACACAATTCTTCCGCTGATTCCGGTTGCGGGCCATGTCTTCAAGAGTACTAAGCCATTGGCGCTCTTCACCCTTGAGTCCCCATCCTGGAAGACGTACGGGTCCAACAGCGGCTAGACACGACGTCAGCGATTTCATATGCCACCGGCAAGTGGAAGACTGACCACTACGCGGTCGCTTCCAGCCAGGTCCTTGACGAGCGAATGGAGC